TCCACCATCTCCCAAGATATCTAGTCAGGCTGTCCACATTATCCATTTATCAATTCACATAACCTTTTGCCCTTTTCTTTGGTCTCAATCATTCAATCATACACAAACATGTAAACCAGTAATTGACACCAAACAAGACAACACAGTATCGGGTTCACCATAATACAAACCATAATAAAAGAAACCATGATTCATGCATACGAGACCATAAAATAAATACATCAAATATCATACTGCATTTAATACTGAAAAATAGATCAAACAACAACTGACCAACAATGTATTAGATTCGGGCTCCATTGGCAATCTCAATCAATTATACATATCGATAAAGTCACAAAATACCGTTTAATTATTTATTAAGCTTTAATGCCGTGATAGGAGGTAGGGTGAGAGATCCTTACTTGTTTCGGGGTCTAAAATCGGCTCTAAGGTGCGCCTATGGACTGTCCTTAAATTTTCTGACTTTTTTTCGGAAAACTGAAACGCACTATCAGTACCTGCACGTGTCCCAAAAAATCTCAAATCAGACCTACGGCCCATTTCGGCCAATATCAGAATTCTGGCACGGTGGCTCCGCCGCCTGCGGTGGCGATCCGCCTCGGGTTGGCCGTTTTCGGTCGAATTCGGCCAAACTTGCATTGGTCCCTGCGATAAAACAACCCTAGGGCCCTCAGTGGGCCAAAAAATCATGAAAAACCGAGACTTACCGGCGGCGGCGCTCTCGGGTGCAGCGGCTTCTCCGGCACGAGTCGCGTTTTGATATTTTGCTCCGGTCAACCTATAGAGAAAAGGACGGTGATCACAGTGGTATAAAAATTACATCGAACAGAGACCGGAAAGGGCCTCATCGGAGGCAAAAACAGAGGGAAGTCGTGGTGGCGCCGCTGGACTTCAGCGTGATTTTTCGGCCGATTAGCCGGTGGTTTGACTCCGATTTGGCCATAGGCGGATTCAACATTGAAAAACGAGCCAAGAGGAGAAAATTTACCTCGTTTGGCGGTCGGAAAATTTTCCGGTGCGACGGCGGGTGGCAGCAGCCGGCTCTTCCGGCGTCTGGTTCTTCTTCTCCGACGAGGCACTGGCGGCTAGGGTTTGTGGTCGGGTGTGGGTGAAGTTATTTATATCCTTCCCCTTTTAACCTCAACCGTCCATCAAGATTTAATCTGTACTGTCCGATCGCAATTTATTTGGGATCAAATCTGGGCCGTCCATCGCGATGCGATCTGGGTCGTCTGTGCTTGATTGAATCTGAGCCGTCCGTACGCGTGAGATCTGGGCTGTCTGTGCGCACATTTGATCTGGGCCGTCCGTACGCGCGAGAACGGATCTGGGCCGTCCGATCGCATGCACGTGGATCGCCCACGTGACCCCGTCCCGCATCAGCGTTCCTTGCCACGCGGCGTGTCCTGGTTGGCCGGGGCTGCTGACTGGGCTGCTGACGTGTCACAACTTTTCTTAATTACGTTTTG